GCTACAGCAGCACTGGGAATCCAGTTAAATTAATGGCAGCGTGTTATCAGAAAATATTGAAGGACAATTTGCTTTCATATGTCGGAAAGCTTATGAAGTCTCCCGACCTCAATATAATTGAGCCACTTTGGGGAGATTTCAAACGTGCAGTTCATGTAAGACAACCCAATCATTTACGGGATCTGGAGGCTTCTTTCCAAGAAGAATGCGCAGCTTCACCATCTGAGAAAATAAAGGGGAGCATCCACAGCTATCACAAAAGACTGTAAGCCATCGTTGATGCTGAAGGGGGCAATACACAGTATTAAGAACTGAAGGGTATGCAAACCTTTGAACTGGAACTCATCATTCATCCCATTATTTTCTTCATTGCTATGTTTTGTATAATGATTGTGCTACTCTGTGACTCTTATAAGAATCCCATTTAAAATAAAAGAAATGTGTTTTGCCTGGTCACTCTGTTTTTCTTTAAAGAATGGGACACATCTTACTAAATCTGCCAGGGTTTGTAAACTTATGAGCACAACTGACAGGACAGCCAAGCACATGCAACATTGAACTTGGTATATTACGCAACTGTCACATTATTGCACATCAGTGAGGTTTCATCCTGACGGAATTCATGAGGCACAACACACAGTGTATCTTCCAGCTATAACCTTCAAATGTATTCCACTCACTCATTTTAGTAATCCACTCCAAACCACCATCTGTGCTATCACACCTAACAGACCACCGTTAAAGATGCTTGTAAAACACAGCGACGACGCAGCAAACTGTACATGGTCCAACGATCACTCAACCATTCACATTCAGCACGCTGCAGATTCTCCACAAGGTAGAGTTTGGTACCAGCAGCAGCAGCAGCAGCAGCAGCAGTTTTGACCAGCAGTGAGGATATTTTAATGTTGCCACCTATGGGCAAAGACAGTTGCTAAACAACAGAACAGTTGCTACAATTTTCGCACGTGTGCCACCTGCAGGCAACAAGCTGTTATAGCTGCTGTCTTCTGTTTCCACATCTCCTGTTTTCTTGTGTACCGAGTTGTACCACCAAGGTGATTGTTGTCACAAAATCACTTTAATTGAGCTTTGCTATAGTGAACTTTTAATGAAATGCGACATCTCTCTGCTATAAATTTTAACAGGCTACACCAGTTTTTCCAAAAGTATTTTGAGAGACTGGTGGGTGGATGCTCCCACAAAAGGACAATTTCAAAGGTAAATGCATCAATCTGGCGAGCTTTGAGAGAAAACTGAAGAGGCTATAGTTATACTAAGAACGTTGTGCTTGTGCAACCAATTTTGTGCTCTTCTATACAATTGAATTATAAACACATATGTTGTGGAGATATGAATAGTGATGACAGCATGGTTAAATGAGACAGGGTCCATGTTTCAAGACGGGTCGCTGACATTGCTGCAGGTCAGTCGCAGAGGGAAGAAATCCTCCCACACCGAGCTTCCCTTTCTGACCCGCTGAGTCGAATCTCCCTGGCAGACTGCACGGACCAACCCGTTGAAAAAAAATAATCCACAGAGCTGTAACTATTTTAAGTGGATGGCAATTTATAGTTAAAAGAGGAAGTTTTCTTTTTTCTTATCGGTCTTCTCTGGCTGCTTCAGCACCCGGTCACCTACATGATTGGTGCATAACAACTTCTGCTCTCTGCATGGAGACCTTTTTGGACATGGTGCAACTGCTGTCCATGGCAATCACAGAAACAACACTCTGTAAAAACAATGCCAAGGAAAATTTGATTCATATTCTATAAAATATACTCCTCACCAGCAGCAAACTAATAAAGAGCAAAGAAAAAAAGTGAGAATCCGGTGGACTTGAAGAAGCACATGACCTCAACAGTTTCTACTAACAATTACTTGTGTGTGATTGTTTTGCCTTGTGGATTTCAGTAATTATTCAGTTTGTGATGGTAACGTCCCATGTAGCACATCAGGGAAACCACGACAGTTGGGACGTTACAAATCCAGCGGCTGATTCATTCTGCTGTGAGTTCAACTGAAAAGATAGATGAAGGTATGAGTGAATGTTTAACTTATTTATTCTCAAAGTCTGAACCTGGTTATGATACAAACAATAACATTAACGTACCGCTTCTGTCTGGATGTGAAAGTGCTATGGAGCAGCATTAGCCAACCCAGCAGGAATTTCTAGCATATGATTAAATTAATCAAACGTCATCATTTCTTGCATTGTAATCAGAGGAAAGGGATCATTTAATATCAGTTGGAAGCTCATGATTTTGTAAAAGGAATTTTGACCAAGAAATATAGCAACAACAGATCAGCGGGGTCTCATTATGCTTGTCTACTTCTGCCAGACACATGGGATGATCACTTGCCATTGACATACACTAAAGGATCTCAAGGCTAGCATCCCATCGTTATTAAACTGAAAATGTACCGTTAACAAACCTCACATTGCCTGTAGATGGCGCACATCAGCACGTTGTAGCTACAGGTTATAGCTGCAGGTCCACAACCCTGCTGCTCACACTGTGTGTGCTCCTATCTCACTACATGATATTATAACCACACCAGACAGCATGTCAGTATCACTGACAGTAAACAGAGAGGACTGAAGGATCACAACAGACCTGATACTCTCCAGACCGATGACAACTTGGCAAAATCTTACTTGCTTTGTCAAAAATACAAAAGAGAATATTTAAAATGTTTCCGCCTCCAAAGATAGTAATAATCTCTCATTTTGGATGTGAGGTCGTTTGTAATCCAGCCTTTATTACTGTTTATTATCATGTCTCCTGAAATATCAGTTCACATTATGCCAGAACATCAACTAACCAAACACCTGGAAAAAAGCATTAACTTACAAAACAGATCTTTCTTATACAATGATTAGAGGCAGGCTAGAAATATGCATCAATATGCATCTGAAAGATTTGCTTGGTAGCCAGGAAGTTCCAGTGATTGCTTATATGTTCACAGGTCATAGTACAGCTGGTAATTATTAGCAAATGAGGGAGTGTATTCAAACACAATGTGTTTAATGTTTGATCCTCTGTGACACACTCCAAGTTAAGTAAAGGCTAACGTGCTGACGTAGCTGAGCTAGAGTAGTCTGCTAAAACACACCGTCATTGCTCTTTGTGAAGCTTGATGGAAGTAATGTAATGTAGCAGCGGTGTTTTATTTGGAGTTATGCGCCGGACTCAGTTTAAAAAATAGCCTTTTAAATGCTACATTGTTTGTCAGCAATCAGTCATACGGTGACTTATGAGGCTATTTGGTCTTGTGTGCTCTGACTGATGTGGCATGCAGTCATAATTTAGTTTGAATGAAAACTCAATTCCTGGTGTTCTTCACCTCTATTTTAGTAAAAGGAAATAACGGAAGTGACAGGCGAACCAGCTTAAAAGGAATTTTGTTGGCTGTGTTTTGGATTTAATTGATATCGATGTGAAGAATGGTTCTTGAGGATTTGGTAAAGTAACAGATAATTATTTGGAAAAGTAACTTATAAATATTTTAAGAAATTGTTAAATATAAGTATATTTGGTAAATGGATTTATACTTTCTAGTTCTACCATGGAAGGTGCCACCTGCGCGAACTAATCCATTCACATCGTCATTTACACATAGAGCCGGGGATCAAACCGCCGTCCTCTGACTGAAGGAGGATCTGCTCTACCAATGAGCCACAGAGGTGCAGTTTAGTGTGGTGGGAGGTGATAGTACGAGTGATGAGTGCTAGTCATGAATTAGTCAGCTTCAATGGTGTTGCTAGGTGTATTTTTGAACTTTGGACAGAGCCAGGCTAGCTGTTTCCCTCTGCTTCCAGTCTTTATGCTAAGCTAGGCTAATTGCCCCCTGGCTGTAGCTCTGTACTTGAACACACAGATATGACATTGAGTTTCCCAGCTCACTCTCATGAAGAAAGCAACTCAGCCAAACGCGTTGAACTCTTCCTTTAATGTGCATGCAATGTAAATGTGTTCTGTAATGCCAGCAGACACTGACTGTAGCAGAGGACACGCAGCGTGTGCTGCTGGGACTCCTCACAGACCCAGAGTCAGCTGTCCCTTCAGTCTGGTCACGTTTGACTAAGACACGTCCAGACAGACGGAGGACAGAGGCTGTGTCTCCTCACCCACACCACCCATCCACCATTCTTTTATGAAAGATTATTATGAATTATCATTATCCTTTACACACATTCAGCACGCAGTGTTGCTGTTTAGTCAAGCAGTGGCCAGCTGGTGCAGGAGAGGTTGATTTATTTACAGCAGTGACAGCTGCTGAAAGCAAATGTGAACGCTAAAGCAAAGAGGGGTGAGCAGATGAACAGCGATGAACATCTCATTCTCTCAGCATACATGATGAGGCATTCAGGGGCTTCCACGTACCGAGCAGCACTGCCAGAATCGTGGCAATCAGGAGCCAGTTCCTCTTCAGCAAGCCTTTGAAATTCACGCCTCGTCGCTCTTTGTTACCCATCATGTCCACGGTGTTGTTATTTCTCAACAAAAAAAAAGAGAGAGAGGGAGAAATCACAATGGAGACGCCACAGACTCCTGCGGGTTTGGATGTCAAGAGGCAGACGACGCAGAGCAGGATGGAGAAGCCGCGTTGCTATACAGCGGAGGATGCAGCCGTCAGACGCTGCTGCTGGCCAGCAATGGTGTGAGGCGGGGTGTGTGTGTGTGTGTGTGTGTGTGGGGG